TAAGTCGATGCCGTCGCGAATTCGACAGAGTCACCGTAATCGCACGCTGGGTCGAAACTCGAGCTACGTACTCGAAATCTACTATTTTTTCAAATAATTCATTTGTTATCGACGAAGAAGCAATTTAAAACCTCGATACGAAGCAGTTTTAAAAACATTCTGAATTCGCATTGGAAAAATCTAAATTTATTACCGTCATCTGTTGTGCGATTAATAGCAATACATTTTTGGTCGAATGACCGTAAAATGCATTGCACCTCGTATATATAAGAACGCATCAAAAGAACAAGAAGAAGAAGAAGAAAAAGAGGGGAAAAAATAAAACGACCATGGAAAACCACGCAAGTCCAATTTGCTCGCAATTTCCCAAGAATCCACTGGCGGATTCTTGGTCACCTAATTGCCATTTCACGCGAGGTCTTTTACCGTGAAAGCTCCGGCCACGAAACCTCGGTTGATGCGCCTCTCAATGGCGTTGCCAAGGCACTTTGTATTCCGCAAAGAGCACGGGCACAGAACACGCGTTGTTTAGCAAATTGTCGTTACCGCGGTGCTTGATCAGCGAAGATCGCACCTGCGGCCCGAACACACCGCTACATACTTGACAGTCGCTCGAAACAGTTCGATCTCGTGACGCTGCAGCCAAACAGCGCACGTGGTTCAGATAGCGCGTGTTCCAACATTCCTTTCGAGCGCGTTCAAATCGCTGCGTCGAATCGTTAACGAGCCTTTAATCGCTATACGAGGCCCACCGGGGCTTCAAGGACCGAACGTTTTTCTTCTTCCCTTCCTTCCTTCTTTTTTTTCTCCTTTTACGAGACAGGAATATTAATTTTTTCTTTCGAGCGCAACGGACATCCATGTGGATCGATCTTTACGATAATCGGCCAAAAAACGAGCACACCTCGGATTCGTAATCAACGTATGGATTGTTTAGGAAAGAGGGTCATTTTAGGAGTGGTGCACCACTCGTTATATCGTCAATACCGAAACAATGGTTGGCTCAAGTCCTCCGTTCTTCCCTCCATTCTGGCCAAACGATTATACTTGGGAAATAATTTCAAGTTAAAATTTTAAAAAGATGTCTTTCGACACTTTTGGTAGAAGCAATACCGTATATTTAATTACGCGTGCTCGAATCTTTGGTTGTTTTTATTTAAAAAGTTATAAGCACAGTGCGGAATGTGGTGCATCTCTTCCGAAACGACTCTACTTTCCAAGTATTTAGGAGCCCACGCTCGATACGAGTAAAAAAAAAAAATCGAGGTACGTCCAAACATCAACCTTTCCGGCCTGTTAATGTAAGATACTCGGGCTTCGTCTCTGCACGTCGAGAGAAAATAAATGGCCTGCATCGCCGAGACTTCTTGCCGAAGCGTTTATAAGATTTATTACATTCGAACGGAGTAAATGATTCAGCAGTATTACCAGAATGAATATTAAATACATAACGTGTATACCGAAGATGAATAACATTAAATTAAAGGTAAAATCGTTGTTTGTTGTACCTCCATAGCAGTGGAAACTGAGTAGAATAAGTGGCGATACATCTTGGAGAAAATGACATTGTAACGAAACAAGGTTCGTCCGTTTATACTTTAATTAGAAAAGAAAATTTAGTGATACGAATTGCTTTTTAAATTAAAAGTACGCGACTTATAATTTGGTTCCTGGCCCTCGCGCGGTAGGGGACGCGTGAGTAGATAACGCGTTGACCCAAATATGGGCAATATAAGCAAGAATTCCTTTTAGGAAAAATGAACAATTGGTCGTAAACCTGGGACGACGAAAACGCCACTCCCGACGGTCTCCTCGTAGCCGTGTCGGACCAGCAATCAGAGGACCGCACATAAAACTTATCAACTGTGCAACCCCCGTCGTAGGATTTCTGCGAAGGAGCATCGAGGAGAGATTACGAGTTAGAGGTCTCCTCGTTAGCGTGTCAGAACCGTTTTAGAACCCAAAACATATATTTCTATGGTCGTGCCCATTCACTGTTAAATAGAAAGGGACTTGTAATAGGAGAGACCAAGGCTGATCGACCAATTTTTCACTTTATATTTTCTAATAAATTACGTCGACAAAATATCATTCGGTTATACGCTTGACTATCTGATCGTATATTTAAAGTATTCGAATGTTTTTCTAACAGCTTTCATGTTAATCGAGTAACCTTATGGGTCGAGGTAGGTCCGCTAATGTTATTAACACTTTAACGACTGCGTGTTTCACGCAAAGACTGTTGCCTGCAACCGGCTATTTTCTCGACGATTTCAATCTGGTGCAAGTTCCCTAACTGTTTTTCGACCCGATATTTTTATAAAAATTCAAATATTAGCTCTACATAATTGTATCGTTGAGCAAACGTATAGATATCAATTTTATTAAACCACATATTCGCGAATCACGAACGTGAAGAGAAAAAGTATCAAACAACTTCGTAGAAACAATAAGAAGAATCCCTATTTAGGGATCGAAGAACGAACGTTTCCGATGTCGTGGACACAAAGCAAAAGAAAAAGAAATAATGGCGCCGGGAGCGTTCCCCATTGACGTGGTCTAGTAGTTCTATTCCGAAAGATCGAGCACGACAGCTAAAGCGATTCATTCACGAGCGGTGTTTGTAGTCGGATTTCGGGCGAAACTGCTTTCGCGCCCATTTCTGTTGGAGGTAAGCGTACGAGGGTCAGCCGAGACACGCTCGTTGTCGGAAATAACGACATAATGACATGGTACAAGATGAGTGCCCGAGGTAGGTAAATCCAAGACGAGGTAGGGATTAAACGAGCGAGAAGGAAAGAGAAACCAGAGTGGGTCCCTGGGTCTGGGTAGGGATACACTTCCAGTAAGAAAGGAGAGGAAGGGAGAGAAAGATAGATAGATACAGAGAGAGAGAGAGAGAGAGAGAGAGAGAGAGACATCTGTGTGCTTGTGTACCACCGCCGCAGCGAGTCGGAAGCGTTGCTGACCATCGCTGGGTAGGCCAGTGGTTCATCAAGTTCCGAGGAGTTGAAGAGAGCTCAATAAGCACTCTCGAGTTCTGAGGCTACGTCACGCAACCCTTTATCGGCGACTCGGTCTAATTTTATTTACGGTTCATTACCGTCCACCGATGACCAGGTGCGATCCCATTAGAAAATTCACGGAAAGTGCATTGGCTGCCAGTTTTCTAGAAATCGATGCTCTTCCCTAACGCAAGAACGAGTCTTCTAGCCAATTACAGTGGCGACTGGACGAGTAGCAAATGCTATCGATAATAGAACCGCCTAAACTCTTTTAGCGATAGAATTTTTTGCCTCGATTGCCGTTAAACGAGGGATGATATCTTACACCCGTCGAGCCACTCTATTGGAACATATCTCTGCTAATATTCTATATCCAAACGAGTACGATGCAGAAACTCAATGTAATTTAATTCGGTTTCACGAGGGAATAAAGTCTCCTGTTATTTTATCTTATCCCGAACGATTATTGGACATTTTTCGTTTCCAATCGATAATTTGATTAACTGGTTACGTTTGCATCCGCGGTTCGGAACCACGCTGCTCGAAGAGAGAGGGGAAACAATGGTCAGCGATACTTTGCATGTTCCAGATTTTCTGAAACGCAACAGCGCGACGCAGAGATCAGTCGCGCACCACGCTCTCTTTAACACCGAATCGGCCCAATTTTGCCCACTATTTAGCGACGCCATGCTACACCGCAGTCAAATTAGCCGTCTGTGCAAACACAGCGAACGGCGTGTGTGCGTCCGTACGCGCATACGCGGTCTGCGAATCCATTCGGTGCAACAATACCGCTCCCTCGCAAGCGTGTACACGTGAATCTGCAAATTTCATTCATCCCGTCGCGCGACAGAAAGAGGGAGACGTCCTCTTGATTTTACCCAACCGGCGCAGCTTTTTTAATTCCTCCCCAACATCATCGACCGGCAACACCGTCGCTTCTCCTCTCTTCCCGATTTCACGCCGCCCCTCGTTAAATTGCTATACGGTCGCGTACTTTCGATGTAAATCATTCGCAAAACAAGTTTTACCCGAGTGTGCACTAACTCTTCGCCTTACTTAGCGAACTAAGTTGAAGATCGGTCGGTTCGCGTGCACGGTCGAAAATTGTTACCATTGTTCTAGGAAATAGCAGCGTTCTTCTCGAAATTTCTGTCGCCGTATCCGCCGCGGAACTTTAAAAGACACCGAGAGAGAAGAGAGTTACGGAGCACGGGTGGGTCACACTCGACTGCCGAGCGCATTGCATTCGCGTAATCGCCGATAACGCTAATTGCGCGCGTCTGACACGCCGCGATACCCTCCCCCTTATTCCGTTAAACGCTTACACACGGTTGAATAAGAGTTCGACGATGACATACCCCGTCGGAAATGAAAATATACGAGTCGACCAAGAACCGAGGCGCGAAAAACTCCGATATAAGACCAACGACTGAGGCGTTAACCTCCGCGTTACGCGCGATTAATTATTTAAAGAGGCGCGGGTAGGCGCGGGTACGCGCGCATCACGGAAAGAGAAACAATTCTAGTGCCGCTTTCAACTGCACTTTATCATGGGTCGCGGACGCGCGAACGTTCGCTCGTAAATAAATCGAGAATCCAATTTGCGGGCATCATAAATCAATACCAGAATCACGATTCAAAGGGTGCACAGAACGCCTCGGAGTTGGAGTCTTGGAGAACAAAAGAGGAGACACAGTTTGCTCCGAAAGTGATCTTCGCAATTAGAATTTTAATAGGATCGGGAATACCGTTCCATAACTTTGCGACATCTTTGTTGAAAGGATCCCGCTAGGGACAAACGTTTTATCAACGATCATTTTAAACAGCAAAATATCCGTAATCCGATTTTCAATCGAACGTTGGGGTAAAGTTTTTCGCGGTTCTCGAACCATCGTCGATAAACGAGGCGAATTCCTCGTTACCATTCTTAAAGTATCCCGGTGGTTAAAGGCGTAGCAAGAGTTGTTATAAAATAAAGTAATAAACACTCACCATAGAGACAGGAATGGGTCCTCCGGCGCCATTGGGGTAGGGGTACGGCGAGACGAGGTAGCCCATGTTGAACGACGAGGTATGCGGCGTCGGATCCACCTTACCTGTTGGCGCAACAAGAACGCATAAACATCCAATTCGACGAACGATTAAAAAGAAATGAATCTTTGCTGCCAGTCGCGTCGTCGGCATTAATTGCTCGGCCGTAAAACGAGGATTCATAAACTCGGTCGAAACTGGCTGGCAGCCGTGAAATGCGACGAGCTCCAATTATTTCGCCTATCGACATTCATTTTTACACGTTTATCGATCGGATTCGCGCAAATACGCTCGGAATAATCCAACGGTAATTAGACTCGGACGGTTTTTCCTAACCGGCAATCTCGCCTCCACTATTACGTCTACGTTAAACCAGTTCCGTTAAACGGACTCGGTTCCCGTGGCTCGTGGTCGAGACCGATTCCTGCTCGCGCGGAAAACCTTTCTCGGAGCGCGCGCGAGAACCTGCTCGAAGGATACGAAACGATAGGGATCGTTTCACGGTGCAACCTCTACGCCCCACACAGCCCTTCCCTCCTTCTTACCCGCACCAAGGTCTGTCCTTTAACGTTCAGGACGGACGCTGGTGTTTGAGAAACCATTCGAGTTTATCCGTTCCGCGAAACTGGATCGCAGCGAGCAACAAGAATCCGCACGAAGGACTCTTCGAGCGATACCGATCATCTTTACCGCTCGGTTCCGCTCCGTACCGCGTCGAGCCGCACCGCGCCGCGTCGCGTCGAACCACGTCCCGATCCGTTCAACGCAGAGATCCTGCCCCGCTGGAGAACCACCACCGCCACCACCACCACCACCCGAGAGAGTTCCTCCGTTCTGCGAAACTCGATCGTTTCGAGAGGTAGAAACCTGCTTTCAGGATTCGAACTGATAAGTATCGCCTTTCGATCTACCCGGCTAGTCCGAGTTAGCATCACCGACTCCGTCCCGGCCAGATCTTATCACCAGAGTCAACGAGGATCTTTAGGTGATCGGCAACGCCATTATTCCGCGGGGAGAAACTATCACCGGGCTTCCCCGAACACGGTAGCCGACGACTATTTCCCCGTCTTTCTATTAACTCGCGATAGATTCCACGCCGCAATAATGCTCGACAATGGAGTAATATAAACGGCTCTGTCGGCCCGTTCAACGAGCCAGGTTCGCACGCACGTGCGACTAGAAAAATTCACAAAGGATATTGCGCCATATAACCGCGATAAGCGTTTCTCTACCGAGTCGTAGAGTCGCGGAACGATCGCGTACCACGGCCGAGCATTGTTCGCGCAAAGGTATACACGTCCAAACCGAGACGAGCATCGCGAACGAGCACGAACGAATACGTTCGAATACATCGCGTAACTTTTCGAACCGCAAGCTCCGCGGAGCTAATGGTGGAGGGCAATCGATATTATCGTGTGTTGTGCAAGGTGAAAATTGCAAGGAATAAACGCGTGACCGGTATCGTAGATAAGAGAGGATGGACGCGGCTGGTCCGAGACGGGCTGGATCGGGCCAGAGAAATTCCGGCGAAGCGCCGGCGATTTCTTATCGGGGCTCGAAAATGGGTCGTAATAGCGGCGCAACGAACCGCAACGAAACCAACGCGAGCGGACTGCTAGCGGTAAACGGCGATAAATCAGCCGCGTAGCAGCGGCCAGAGAACCGCGTGCTTAATTAATACTTTGGCAGAGCGGTTGCACGCACGCGGGTGCAGCCGCCGCTAGCAGCCGCGTTGACCGCGCGCACCACCGACCATGAAAGAGTTAATTCTTCGTTCGAGGCTCCTCTCCGCGATGATCTCGATCGTCCCCCAACGCGAGACCATTGACCTTTTCCGAGTAGCGAGACACACACAGCACTCGTTCGTCCGAACTTATTAAGACGCGAACGGAGTCCGCGTCGCTGGTTCGCGCTACCACGCGACGCGACGAGACGGGACGGGACCGAACCGTACGCATCGGCGCAATTCACACGACTGCGGACGATTAAATTGTCAGCTACGCGACTCTATAAATAACGCGACACACGCACGCATACCGGGGCCGTATTTCGACGGAATCGCGCACGATCCTCGTTTTATCGCGACTGCGTCGATGAAAACCGACCGACCGACCGACCGACCGTATTTCGCTGCGCCGCCGATCGTGCGAGCAAATAGGCTTCGCTTTTAATGAAACTTTTATCTGTTTACGACGACGACGCGCACGGTCCCGGGATTAACACGCCGCGCGTCTCGCGATAAAAGCGTCATCGAATCTTGGAATTCCCGAATTTTTCTCGAGTATTTGCGCGGGTCCAAAACTTGTGGTTTATCTATACGCGTAAATCGGAGATTATCGGGGACAATTATAATAGTTACGTTTGAAGTGAATTGAGAAAAACAACAACACGATGCACACCAAGATGTCTTGGTAAATCGTACTCATATATGTTAAATAAAACATGACCAACGACAGGTCGCTCGAGGTACACCGCGTACAAGCGATTTAGTTATAAATCGAGTACAACCTGAACGTCGAATCACAGTACACGAATCCTGTCGAAATTAATTTCCTATAAGAAGAAGGTAATGTCTAAAGAAGAATCTTGGAGACTCGATAGATCCGGTGGAAAGATCCTCCGCACGAATCCGTATCGAATATTTGCTCGGGTAGCAAGAAAAGGGAAACGTTGTCCCGCATTCGGGCACGGCAGGCTCTGTTTCCGAATGCATATCCTGAGTGCACATGTGCGCCACACTCGCGCCAAAGTTTATTGCCAGCCGACCCGCTCCCCTTCGTCCTTTCGGTTCCCACCGACCTTTCCATTACGATCAGTGTGCGCCCTGCCCTCCTTCCTCCTCCTCCTACGCCTCTCGTCCTGCTGCGTTCCATCGGTCTTTCATGCAGCGTGTTCTACCGACTCAAACTTCGTGCCCGTGTTCTCTCGCCCGCCCGGTCTACGCTCTCTTTTTCGCTCCTCTCCTGCAGGTTTGTTTACTTCGCAGTCTTGTTGGAATAATACCATGGGACGGTAATTATAGACACCCCGGGCACACAATGCTCGACGACTTGGTCGCGCGTTTGCCGGGCCGACAACTGGAAGGCAGCTTGGCTGACTGGCTATCTCCTCCCCGGAAGAATCACAATTTATGCATTCGAGGCGACATTTCGATCGTAATACATATCAGGGAATTGGTCGGATTCAGATGTTTCTTTAACGCTGGCAGATCTAGGCCAGCAATTTTCAACCTTTTCCATTTCTTTATGATATATATACCAATAAGAAAAGTATTTTCTTACATTTTTATCTAATTAAAACTACTACGTAAATTTCACTTTAATCCCAAAACCAACAGAATTGAATGAAAATATAGTAAAGATAAAATCTAGTATACGTAATTGATAAAAACGACGGAGAAACACGCGAGAGAATAAAATTTTTTGGGTAAGTATACCTCGACGGGGCTCCACGCGATCGCACACGGTCTACAGGAGGATTCCAACTATCCCGCAGGGTGTACACGGGTACTTAAACAATATCCGCGTCCCGAGTTATTCGCGATTCTGCATCGACGATTCCTGGAAAGGCGCCATTAGAACAGAAGAGGCAAAGAGCGGAAGCCGCGAAGAGATTATTATGGATTTGCATATGTTCCGAGTGCCCTCGATTTCGTGCCGAGCGTTCTCGCGAGCATTGTCTGCGCCGAGGATTATTTTCGTTTGATGGAAAAAAAAACACACGCGCGCGCGCGCACAATGGGGCGCGGCTATGTTACAAACGATAAATCTATCCGTTCCCTCGGTTCTCTCCTGTAATCCGCCGTTGAGAGGACGACAATGATCATCATGGTGTACGGTAACGAGGCGCAGGAGGTAGACTTTCGTTTGTGGCTGCGATGACTGGTCGGGATAAAGGAATTTCCAACGAATGTCTCTGATTACAAAAATGTTCTACGCGTTGCGACGCTCGACTGAACGAATTTATCTGCCCGATAGACGAAAACCACACGCAATTACACCGTCCCGATCGAGTATCGCGGAGTTCGAGGAAACGATGTTTCTCGGACGTTGTAAAGTGGCACTTGGGTTGCCTGGACACGGGAGAGTCGCGTCAAACCTCGATCGTAAAGTCTCGTCTGTTTCGGGCCTCGAATCAGGCCCGAAATCCAGGGCCTAAAAAGGACACAGGAGCGAAAGAGCGTGCCGTTAATGCCATTATGGCCGAGCTTGTGTGTACAGCTTGTTGTCGGCTGGTAAATTACTATAATTGTGAAGTTCCGGCGATTTTTAGATTAGCTCTGGTCCATCAACGCTATATGCCTACCTACCCCGACCTGCCGACACTGCACCGTAGAGCCCGGCGGTTCTCAAATCCACGCCCGACCCGTGAAACCTTTGCGATCATTTTCGGGACTTTTACGCGAACGAGCAAACAAATGGAAATATTCGATCGATCGAAAACTCTCCTGCGCGGTAAATTTTCCAGAACGATCGGTTGGAATTGGACAAATTCCAGGGGCACGCGGCGCGAACGGAAAGTTGCCAAAAATTGGTTCGCCACGAAGCGTGTTAACGCGATGGGGGTGAAACTTGTCACGGATACGAATTAATTTTGCGAGTCGGTGCGTGCCGAGAATACGATTTCCTTGACAGAATCTTTGGCCGGAGGTTTGTCGGGTTCTTCCGTCTCCCACGGGAGGAAACGACGTAGGAACAGAGTGGCGGGAGACAAAATGGAATGGCCAAGGATTACGGTACCCCCCCCTTCGGACGCTGCAACGTTAAAAGGACTGCACGGATTCCTGCGGAGACCGGAGGTCAGCGGAACCTATTGGTTCGTGTCAATAGAAATCTGCACTTGCGTCTCTCGACGCGGGACTCCTGTGTTCCTTGTGGATAGGATACCGGGAGTAGCGAAAAGAATTTTCGTCCTTCGAGCACTCTTTGTACGACGAACAAAAATTTGAAATTCCTTCGTCCCTGTACATGGATTTGCAGATCGATTCGTAAATTATAATCTATCGATAGCTAGTTTACGAATGGAAGATATCAATATGCAGCAGCCCTAGAAATGTAAATCCGGG